GAGATGAAGCCACTACACTTCAGCCTGGGTGACAAGAGCGAGACTCCGTGTCAAAAAAAAAAAAAAAATCAGCTGGCATGGTGGCATGTGCCTGTAGTCCCAGCTACTTGAGAGGCTGAGGTAGGAGGATCCTTTGAGCCCAGGAATTCAAGGTGGCAGTGAGAAAGTGAGACCCCCGTCTCTTAAAAAAAAAAAAAAAAGTTCAGTTCTGATAGGAGCTATGGTGTGAATGAACTTGAACTTCAGAAACATTAGGACCAGCCAGGCACAGTGGCTCACACCTGTAATCCCAGAACTTTGGCTGGCCAAGGCAGGTGGATCACCTGAAGTCAGGGGTTTGAGACCACCCTGACCAACATGAGGAAACTTCATCTCTGTTACAATCACAAAATTAGCTGGCTGTGGTGGCACATGCCTGTAATTCCAGTTACTCAGAAGGCTGAGACAGAATCACTAGAACCCAGGAGGCAGAGGTTGCAGTGAGTCAAGATCGTGCCACTGCACTCCAGCCTGGGTGACAGAGCCAGACTGTGCCTGAAAAAAAATTAGGACCATATAGTACATGATTTCATTCAGATTAAATGTCCAGAAAGAGCCATATGAAGATGGCAAGTACTTCAGTGGCTGCCTGGGGCTGGACGGGGCTGGGGACATGGGGTGGCTAAGCAGGGAGGGGTGAGAATCCTGGCCTCTGCAGCCGCTCTCTACCAGCTCAGCTCTTTGGGGCGACAGAGCCAAGATGCACCCAGATGGTCGGTGTGCAGGGAGTTTCCCACCTCACTGCCCCCAGGCAGGCAAGTGGGCTCAAGACAGCTGCTCCCACAGCACTCCTAGGCTCGGGCACCTGCAGCTGTCACCTTATACTTTATTTATCTTTCCCAACAGGCTCCCAGTTGCATGGCTGCAGAAACCCTTACATAATCTTTAATCCTCTCGACGGGGCGGGTGGGGCAGGTTTCCTGTTCTCCTGTGTTCTGACGAGGAAGCAGAGGCTCCGGGGAGAGTTTCAACTTGCCCACCAGTGTGTGGCCGGGACACGGCGTGGCTGAGACGGCCTGGGAGCTCAGGTTCCCCGGGCCCAGGGCTTCTCTGCTCTCCGGAGCCCAGGGCTCCTCTTGCCTACATTTCTCCTTTTCATCCCAGCAGTCACACTGTCTAGCCTAATCTCCCTCGGTGGCCCTGCTGCCTTTGCTTTTCTTTCCTTTCCCACCCACACTCTGCCCTCCTGGCCGAGGCCCCATAGCTGGGCTGGTGGGAGCCCTTACCTGGCTCCATGATACCCTGAGGGCAGAGCAGGGTGACAGTGGGGTTTCCAGCAGATAAATGCTAATGATGGGATTATACACATGGTCAGCTGACTTCAATCCTGCAGACAAACACAGCCTGGGAGAGCTGGGAGGAGGGTCCGTGGGCCGCAGGCTTTGGGAGGGATGGCGGGGGTGGGGGGGGCGGCTGTTTGGTTTGTAGATTTTTCCCCCACCTGGAAGGCTGGGGCCCCACCAGCCTCTCAGGCTGTCCCTGCTCCTCTCGGGCTCCAGGGGTAAATGAAACCAGGCCCACCTGCTGCTTTCCCACTTTCTGTGTTTGCGTGTTAGGGTCTGGTCTCACCCCAGGAGGTACTAAGACATGGAGCTCCTAGGAACACACACACACACACACACACACACACACACACACACACACACACACACACATTTGGGAAAAATCCTGAGCACTCTGGCACAGGAAGAGGGAGCAGGAAGGCTCAAGGGCTAGGTTTTATTTACCTCTAGGACCTGAAACCATCCCACATTTCAGCCCTTGAGATACATTCACATTTTATTAACCCCTATATAGACAAGTGCCAGGTGTTGTGTTATGCACTGTGCCTACGTTAGGCCATAGGGACCCTCTAAAGAAGGCACTGTGACTACTAACAGAATTGAATGGGGCCCTGGGATCACGGGCCTTCCAAGGCACCTGGACTATCCCCATTAAAAATTCAAACCCAGCTGGGTGCAGTGGTTCACACCTGTAATCCCAACATTCTGGGAGGCCAAGGTGGGTGGATCACCTGAGGTCAGGAGTTCGAGACCAGCCTGGCCACCATGGCAAAACCCTGTCTCTACTAAAAATACAGAAATTAGCTGGGCATGGTGGTGTACGCCTGTAATCCCAGCCACATGAGAGGCCAAGGCAGGAGAATCTCTTGAACCTAGGAGGCGGAGGTTGCAGTGAGCAGAGATCACGCCATTGCACTCCAGCCTGAGTGACAGACCCAAATTTGATCTCAAAAAAAACCAAAAAAATCCAAACCCAAACTGCAGCTTCCCCAGAATCCAAGCACACAGGCTCCTGTTCCAGAGGACTTGCTGCCTGTGGGAATGTCCCTTCTGCCATGTCTCGTTGTGACAATCTCCCTCATCAAAGTGTCCCCAGAACAATGCCCAGACTAAGCAAGGCTGTCCTCAGGCCCCTCATGGTGGCCCAGCCCAGTGGGTTACAGCGTCCTCAGTCCACCTCTGCCCACTCGGGACCCACATGTCCTGGCTCAGCTCCCAAACAGATCCACCTGCCCACGGGGCCTCCAGACCTTAGGAAGGGCAGAGCTTCAACGGGTCAGCTGCCCCATCAGTGAAGCTGGTGAGGACTGGACTCTGAGCCTCCCTCTGGACCAGGGCTGGGCAAGCTACAGGGTCACTAGAGTGGGTGAAGGTCAGGAGGTGGGGGGACTGGTCTGGGTGGAGACACGGGTAAGGGGTGTCCGTGTCCATTTCACCTCCTGGGTTTTCGTATCTTGTCTCCTGTTTGCCAGGTGTTTATTTGTCAGAGGGACGGAGTTGTTATTAGAAGGGTCCCAACCTGAGAGTTGTGGCTGCTCCTAAACCACAGGCTTCCATCAGAAGGGCGGGGCTGGGTCCCTGGTGCGAGCCAATCTTTGAACCCTCTGGGGACAGAAGGTGCTTAGGGCCTGAAGCCCATGAGGAGTTTGCAAGGAAAGCCCTCCTCAATCTCAGCCCAGACAAGCCACTCTGCACCTCCAGCTGACAAAGGAACAGCCCTGTTAGAACTGCCCAGCTCGGAGGCCTTCTCGGAGGTGGAGGCGTATCTTGGCTGGGTTAGGTCAGATCTGGAGAGGGAGCCCCTCCCGCTGCACATGAAGGGATAGAAAGGAGCCAGTGTTTGCCGTGTGTGGGCTCACAGTGGGCTGTCTCCTTGACAGGGAGCGTTTCCATCAGCACCAGATAATATTTATCAGCCCCCACGCAGGCCAGGAATCAGGAGTAGCAGAGAGAGAGTCAGCATTGTCCCAACCCGGAGGACAACGCTGACTCTTCCGGGACAAGTTGCACAAACAGAGAGTGGCTTTGCCTGGAAGGAGGCCTCTCCTCCTGAGCTCTATGGCTCCTGGGCCAATCCAGCAGCCCTGGGGAACTTCAGGCTCTAACAGATGTCGATAGCTGATATCTATGAAACTCTTCCTCTGTGCCAAGCACTGGGTAAGCCTGTGCCTACATTAGCCTACAAGGTCCCTCTAAAGAAGGCATCATGGTTACTGTCTCCACCTACATATGAGGCACCTGGAGCTCCTGGAAGCAACCCCCCATGGGCTGCACAGCTGGCCGACAGCAGAACCTCCTCGAACCACTGTTTATGTGCATTCATTCTGCTCCAGCTGGGTCTGACCCATTTAGATAGGGTCTTCCCAGCCATCCCCTGCTTTCCCCAAGGTCTTTGAGGAAGCCCACCCTTTTCCAAGACAGAATACGGGAAAAGAAATGAGGATGCTGGTACCAATGGCTCCACTGTGCCCACAGTCCCACCATCACTGCTGAAGAAAGAGGCTGAAGTGGGCCCCAGCCCCTGGGGAGCCCAGAGGCAGGCAGACATTGGAGGCTGTGCCATCCGCCTCTGGTTTGCTTAACAGGGGCCCTGGGCTTCATGAATCCAGCCAATGGGACCTGGGCCGAGGCCCATCAGGTACTCATGTGTGCCTTTTGCTACATTAGACAGTGCCACCCAATGTCTCTGAGCCATCGGCATAGCCTATCACCATGATGCTCCTACCTGGGCACCAAGCCTGCCCCTGCTGCCCCCCACTGTGCCCGTGCCCACTCCAGCACGAGTCCTCAGCTGCCTACCCCAACAAACGTCCTGGACACGGTCTACAGAGCATGTGGTTTGGCACAGCCCATTCACTGGCCTTTTCTCAGCTACCCAATTACATCCCGGTCCCTCTCACCACGGGGCCTTTGCACGTACAAGCCCCTCAGGTCAATCTTTCTCCCCTCATGCGTGCTTCTCACGACCTTTTCTTCAGCCCTCATGTTTCAGCTCAAGCACAGTTTCCTACAGAAGCCCTCCCTGACCTCCAGGTTTAGGTCTTGCCCCCATCGTCCCACCTCTCATGCCGCTAAGCATTTCTTTGCGGCCCTTGTTAGCTGCAAACTCATGTTTGTTTGTCATGCAATTCTCTGATGAATGCCTTGTCTCTCCACACTAGACTTAAGGTCATGGAGGGAGGACAGAGACTTTTCTGTTCACCAGTTTCTCAGCTTCTAGCCCAGTGCCCACCATACTGCTGGTACTTGATGAACACTGATTGCCACATGTGTACTGCCTTCCTCATCCTGGTGACAGGAGGGCCAATATTGCAAATGGAGAGCCAAGGACTTTGTCACACATGAACACCCTAGAGACGAGCTTTAGCTCTCGACCATGTATATATGTGCTCTGTGGGTAGCAGGCATATTAGGGGGGAAAGTCAAGCAATGGGTAAAGAATCAGGGCCTACCCAGGATAGGGAAGCTCCCAGTTCTCCTTGGATCAATCTATGAAGGCTTCCTGGAAGAAGAGCCCCCAGCTTTCTTGATGGTGTCATCAACAGCACAGCGAAGAGTTCAGTGAGTAGAGGAAGAATGGTGCTGCAAGCCACAGGGCCCTTCCTGCCCCCCGAGGTGAGCTGAGCCATCTAAGCAGACCTCTCTGCCCTGCAGCCCCTGCTGCAGAGCCCCACATACCTGCTCATCCACTTTATGGGCGATAAGGGTGGCTCCTTCCTCCAGCTCTGCCACGCTAATGGGCCGGACCCGGAGTGCCACCTGGGAGGGAAAACCAAGCCCCTTGGATTAGAGGGAGAGGACTGTGCCAGGCCTCAGAGAGAACCCAGGCAAGCCCCTGGCTTCTCTAGCATTCAGCTAGCTCAGGCCTCTGTCCTAAGCAATAAGGGGGATGGCTCAGTGACCTCCAGCAGCCACTAGGCTGCGGGTGGGTGGGTGTCTCTCTCGGCAAGCCCCTTCCTTCGGGGCCTCATTCTGGCACAGGGGCCCTTGTCTTCCTACTGGTGATCCCCAAATCCTTTTAAACTTCTGACCTCACCAGGGCTGGGGCAGCCTCTGGTTAACCGGGAAACCCCTACCTTCCTTCTGTGGGCAGTTAGGTCAAGCCCTCCCCGTCCCAGGTCAGAGGGCAACAGGTCCCCAGAGTGGTGGACTGTCTGAGTCTCTGAGGCTCCCCAGGAGCCGTGGCCTCTGGGAGAGCCCCAGGGGAGAAAGCTGTCTGCTACTCCAGCCTGCCTCAGCCTCGCGCCCAAATAAAACACTCGCAGCTCCCCTGGGCTTGAACTTGGGGCCCCGGCACTGGAGCAGCCTGTCTGTGTTTACTTGAATGATGTGCCGTAGCTGCAGGTGCAGACACGGCAGCCTCTGGGATGAGGCCTGGCAGTTGGGACGGAGCAGGGAATGTCCCCTGTCATCCTAACAGCCTGTGACCACATTCCTACCAAGGAGAGTGTCACCTAGAGCCCCCACCTCTGTCTGACCTCCAGCCAGGGAGAAATGGCTCTCATCCTGTGCATGCATGTCCCCAAAGAACAGGGTGGAGTGGGGAGCATGTCTTCTGCTGAACAAAGGGGAAGAGTGTAGGGGTAGAGTGAATGGCCCTCTGGCCAAGTGAAGACACCCTCAGGCCGGGTGCAGTGGCTCATGCCTCTAATCCCAGCACTTTTGGAGGCCAAGGTGGGCAGATCACTGAGGTCAGGAGTCCAAGACCAGCCTGGCCAATTTGGTGAGACCCCATCTCTACTAAAAATACAAAAATCAGCCGGGCATGGTGGCACGTGCCTGTTATCCCAGCTACTTGGGAGGCTGAGGCAGGAGAATCACTTGCAGGAGGTTGCAGTGAGCCGAGATGGTGCTCCTTCACTCCAGAGCCTGGGTGAGAGAGTGAAACTCCATCTCCAAAAAAAAAAAAAAAAAAAGGACTTTCAGAGGGACCGCCACTGCCTGACAGATCACTTTTATTGGTCTCTTCAGCCAAATCCCACTCCTTGCCCTTGGGGGCACACAACACACGCCAAGGCCAACCATTTTCAAAGGGACACTTTCTAAACAGCCAGAGACGATGTCCTAGAGCCCAGGCCTTGCTTGGGGGCTGTAGTCAAGTATCCTCTTTGGAGAAGCAAGTCCACTCTTCATAGGTAGGGACTATGGGGTCGACATTATCCTCCAGTTACCCTACTGCCCACCTTCTGGTGATGAGGGCCTTTCCAAGATCTCAAAATTTAGAGGACGAGGAAGGGGCTTTCTGAGAGAGACATCCACTCACCCACAGCCTAGTAGTGGCCTCAAGGTCACTGAGGCATCCTCCTTATTGCTCTGGCTCCGGCACCAGTGATGATCAGGAGTTCAACCTTCCCGCACAGCCCCCACTCTCCCCTCCCCATCTGTCCCAGACCCCGGGGCTCTGTGGGGCCATGGTAGCTGCATCTAGCACTTCTCCGAAATATTTAGTCAGGCCTTGGACAGCATCTGTGTTGCAGCCCAATAATTAGGCACTCCGGGACCATCCTGGCGCCAGGGGCCCTTGTCTGCCTACTGGTGATCCCCAAATCCCTTTAAACTCCTGACCTCACCAGGGCTGGGGCAGCCTCTGGTTAACCGGGAAACCCCCGGTTTCCTCCCTGCCCCTGGTGTTTCTGGATGAGAGAGACGAGAATCATCTGTACAGGGTCTGGGGACGGGGTCCCCCAATGGGAGGGGGTAAATGCGGGGGTGAGGTTGAAGTTGGGGTAATTTTCAGTCTCAGGAAAGTCTAAAAAGGCCATGGTCCCTTCTTGACACCCATCCCGCAGGACTTGGGGAAAGTTGCTCTGAAGAGTACTGGCCCTGGCCGTAGCCTGTCCTGTCAGTGGGGCGGCGAGGGGACCAGAATTCTGTCTGCTGGAGGCCGATTGAAGTAGACCGCGGAGGCGGGTGAGGAGGAGGTCTCAGGGGGTCTCACCATGAGTTGCTGGTCCTTGGAGTCCCCGCTGTCCTTCATCCTTGCAGCAGGTGGAGGGGCTCAGGGCGCGCCACCGGGCATGGCCCAGCCGCACCCCCACCGCCGCCGGGTCGCGTCCACCTGCTGCCCGAAGCCTCGCCTGCTGCTTGACAACCCGAAACCAACAACGCGCCGGCGGCCAAGGGCGCTGACCGGAGGCGGGGCAGAGGGAGGGCCCGGACGGCGCCGCCCCGCCCCTGTGGCCCGCCCCTCCCCGTGCCGCGGGCGGGAGTTGGCTGCCTACGCCCGGGAGGCCTCAGAGCCTGCGCCTCTGCGCGGTGTGTGCCCGTCTGTGCCGCCCTGCGGTCCTCGGCGCGACCATGCGTCCGCCCGGCGCCTCCGAGTCAGTTCGCTAACTCCTGCGCGCCCGCCGGTGCCCCTCCGCTCGCGGCGCGCTCCCCGTGCCACTGTCCTTTAGGGCGCGCCCCGCCAGCCACGCTGCCCCGAGGGGCACACGCATCTGCCGCCCGCCCGCCCGCCCGCCTGTCTCTGGGGTCTCCAGGGCGGCGGCTGGCAGCCTCGGGTTCCATGGGCGCTGCGTGCATCGCAGCAGGTGCCTCTGGGTGGGTGTCTGCACCCACTGCTCACTGGCATGGGTGGCAAACAGTTGTCCCTTTGCCCAGGCTGCCCGCCCAGTGGTATGCAGCGAGCACCTCTATTACCTGGGGTGTGCTACAGAACAGCCTGACTCAGGGCACCCCAATAACAAAGAAGTCTCCACCCCTGAACCCAGAATCTAGGTCACCATGGCTGGGTCCGTGTGCCCTGCTGGCTCCCTGCCTGCTGCTGGAAGAGCCACAATACAGTGCAAGAAAGTCTAGGTCTGACGCTACCGCCTCCATTCTTGGCGACAGTAACAACGGTTGCCCTCCGAGGGAACACGGGGAAAGGTTCCTGTCCTCAGGAGGCCCTGGGAAAACAGGATTCGAGTCCCAGCTCTGCCTCCAACTCTGCCGGCCACCTGGAGCTGGTTTTTCCTGCCTCCCTGGGGCCTCGGTTTCCTGGGGGATGTTGGAGCCTCTCCCGATTCTCATGTCCATCCTTGGCATCCTCTGCCCCCACGGAAGCTGAGTCCGGCATCCCCAACACCAGAAGAAGCGACGATGAGGTTTACTTCCCAGGAAAGCGGCTGGGAAAGGAAGCTCTCATGTCCCCAGGGCTGCCTCAGACTGCCTGGGGCCCCTCAGAGGCAGAGTGTGATGCCAGCCTGTGCCCTGGGACTGGCTTCCCCGGCTGCCCCTGAGGAGCCTGTGTGGGAATGACTATTAATAAACCGCAGCAAGAAGCAGCCGCCAGCCTTGGGTTTAATAAACAGACAAACCAAACAAAGCTCGGTGGAAACGAACTCTCTCACTCCGGCTCCCAGATTTTGTCCTGTCCTTTGGCCTAGGCTGCCCCTCGGGCTGGACAGTTTGCAAATGGGCATGCTGTGACCAGAATCAGGGCTTCTTTTTCTTTAATAGGGTTTCACTCTGTCACCCAGGCTGGAGTGCAGAGGCACAACGGCACTATCGTGGATGGCTCACTGCAGCCTCGATCCCTCAGGCTCAAGCGATCCTCCTGCCTCAGCCCCCCAAATAGCAGGGACTACAGGTGTGCACCACCACTCCTGGCTAACTTTTTATATTTTGTAGAGACAGGGATCTCACTGTGCTGTCCAGGCTGGTTTTGAACTCCTGGACTCAAGCAATCCTCCCACCTTGGCCTCTGAAAAGAGACTCAGGTAAGTTTTAGGGGTGTGTTATGCTTACATTTTAGACTCCTGAATAGAACCTCTTTGGATCAGTCAAGGAGGCCCCTGGTCAGCTGGACTATGGCTATTTTTCCTTCTCTTTTCTATTCCTCCAGTGCATCAGTCCCACCCAGAATGGCCCATAGTAATTTTTTGTTTTTGTTTTTTGGTGGGTTTGGCTTTTTTTTTTTTTTCTGTTTGAGACAGGGTCTCTCTCTCTCTCTTTCTCTTTCTTCTGCCTCCCCACCCCTCAAGAAAGGCTCTCACTCTGTGGGCTGGGCTGGAGTGCAGTGGTGCAATCATGGCTCACTGTAGCTTCAACCTCCTCGTCTCAAGCGGTTCTCCTAGCTCAGCCTTCCAAGTAGCTGGGACCACAGGCACATGCCATCAAGTCTGGCTCATTAAAAAAAATTTTTTTTTTGTAGAAGTGGGGTCTTGAACTTCTGAGCTCAGTCAATCCTCCTGCCTTGGCCTCTCAAAGTGTTGGGATTACAAATGTGAGCCGCTGTGCCAGGCCCATAGTGATTGATGGGTAAAAATAAGAAGCTTCTTGGCTAGGCACAGTGGCTCATGTCTGTAATCCCAGGACTTTGGGAGGTCAACGTGGGCAGATCATTTGAGGTCAAGAGTTCAAGACCAGCCTGTGCAACATGGCGAAACTCCGTCTCTACTAAAAATACAAAACTTAGCTGGGCATGGTGGCACGCGCCTGTGATCCCAGCTACTCGAGAGGCTGAGGTAGGAGAATTGCTTGAACCCAGGAAGTGGAGGTTACAGTGTGCCGAGATCACATCATTGCACTCCAGCCTGGGCAACAGAGTGAGACTCTGTGTCAAGAATAAATAAATAAATAAGAAGTTTCTAAGCAACAAGTCACCACCCACCCTCATCCGTCTTACATAAAGACTCACCACACGGCCAGCTATATCCTCAAACAGTGTCCTCTGCTTGACTTTTGGGTTTGTCAGGGAAGCCACCATTCCCTGTATAATCGCACCTTTAGGGCATTTTTTGCTGCCTCTTTTTTCTCATCTTCTACATTCAAATCCTATAGATTCTACTTCTGCAAATGTGTCTTCTCTTTATCTTTTCTTGCCATTCCCTGGGCTCCAGTTTTTACCCCTTCTCACTGGGACAATGTCATGGCCTCTTGCTGTTCCCCATCCCCACCTTTTATTTCTTTTGAGATGGAGTCCAGTTCTGTCGCTCAGGCTGGAGTGCAATGGTGTGATCTTGGCGCACTGCAACCTCCGCCTCCCGGGTTCAAGCGATTCTCCTGCCTCAGCCTCCTGAGCAGCTGGGATTACAGGCGCCCACCACCATGCCTGGCTAATTTTGTATTTTTGGCCAGGCTGGTCTTGAACTCCTGACCTCAGTTGATCCGCCCGTCTCAGCCTCCCAAAATGCCGGTATTATAGGTGTGAGCCACCGAGCCCAGCCCCGGCCCCACTTTTAAAAGTGGAAGAGATCTGACAGTGAGACCATTGAAAGGGGAGAGACTGGCAGACAGAGACCTTCTGTGTTCTCTCATGCACAAGAAAAGGCGGACACCTTACTCTCCACAATTTCAGCCCCTGCCCGGCCACGTTTAGCCTCGTCCTGCTCTATGAGCTAGGGCTTCCACTCATCCTCACTGCTTGCTTATTCCCAAATGTACACTAGGGCCAGGTCCTACGCTGGGGCCTTTGCTCATGCCAGTCCTCTGACCCGGTACCCCCTTTCCAGCTTACTTCTGTCAAATGCCTCTTCAGCCTCCATATCAGACCCCTCCTCTCCTGGTCCACAGAGCTCTCATTATGCCCTTACAGAGCCTGAATCCAAGTAAGCCCTGCATGGGCAGAGATCCAGGTGCTTGGTGTATGCTCAGTACATGCGCTCTGCATCCTGGTCCTGCCTTGGAACCTGTTCCTGTCCCTCCCCTCCACTCCCACCACGGCTGCCTGCAGCCTGGGACTTTGCCACTTCTCTTCTGGATGACCATGGCATCTCTTTGCCCTGATCTCTTTGTCTCCAGTTTGGCTTCGTTCCAATGCACTTCCATTCCCTCACTGCTCTAGGACAGATGGGTGTCGAGACCTACTTGAAATGCTGCCATGGCGCCCCATTGCCTTCTGTCTGGGGTCAGACCTTCAGCCTGTGCTTGCAGCCGTCCCTGCCGCCCCCCCCGGCTCGCCCCCTCTACCACCCTTGCTCCGGCTGTGCTCTACCTTGTGTAGTCCTCTGCATGAGCAGCTCTCCTCCCTGGGCTTTGTTCCCGCTGCTCGGTTCTGGAGGGTCCATCTTCCACTTATCGATCTGGCTAACTCCTTCTTCCAAGCTGATCTTATGTGTCACCTCCCCTTTCCTTGGGGAAACTGCCTTGTGGAAAGTAAAAAGGTTCCTTTTTAAAGTTTCCTTTCTTGTTAAAGAATAAGTGTGTTAATAACTTTGTTAAGTCCTATCCTATGTAGTTGTTAGATATGCCATAATTATAGGCACGTAGTACATTCTATGTTCTTGTACTTTAACCATGATATCTGAGCTGGACGTGCTCATAAGCATGTCCCAGCTCTCCCTTGCTTTTATCAGTTTAGAAACGTTTTAAGTTTTTAGCCAATCAGGTTTCAGTTTAGATTGTGAGGTCTGGCTCCAGCCAATGGAGATCAGACACAGCAGTAAGGACAACCCTAAATGTGTAAGGGATAAACTTGTGTGGCTTCTTTTGTTCACTGTATTCTCGTGGCACAATGACTAGTGAAGGTACCCTTCCTGCAGTCCAGGAAGTAAAAATTGCGTTGCTGAAAGATCTTTTGTCTCATTGCTAATGTTTCTTCGAAGCACCAAGCATCTATTTCCAACATGCCTCTTCTCTAGTCCATGTTATTCTGGTAGAGCCCATCACAGCATCCTGTTCCACTCCCAGCCCTGACAGAAGGAGTGCAACCCAGGTTTGGCTGTGTTCACAGTGATTGGTCCAAGAGGATGGGCTATGACCCACATTAAGCCAATCAGAGCCTTTCCCTGGGATTTTGTTTTACTTGGAGGGAGGAGCTGCCTTTAGGATTACTGGCTGAGATGACTAAAATCAGGGGAGTGGGGTCATATCTAATCCCTCCCTTATCCAGTGGAAGCAGCTTTACTATAGCAGAAGTGCATAAAACTGAGGCAAAGGAAAAAGCTATGCAGAGAGATAACAAATGACAACATCTGAGTTGCTGGATCCAGCCATACCTGAAGCTGTTAGCCCTGGTCTTCCAAGTTTCTTGAGTCAATATTCTTTCTTGGCTTTACCCGGAGTGGGTTTCTGAAACATATGACCAAGAGTCCTGACAAATACAGGGGGGAAGCCTAAACCTCTCTCTCTCCCTCTGTCTCTCTCTCTCTCTTTCTTTCAGACAGAATCTTGCTCTCTCATCCAGGTTGGAGTGCAGTGATGTGATCTCAGTTCATTGCAACCTCTGCCTCCCAGGTTTAAGTGATTCTCATACCTCTGCCCCCTAAAGAGCTGGTATTCCAGGCAGGCGCCACCACACTGGCTAATTTTTTAATTTTTAGTAGAGATGGGGTTTCACCGTGTTGGCCAGGCTAGTCTTAAACTCCTGGCTTCAAGAGAGCCACGCGCCTCAGCCTCCCAAAGTGTTGGGATTACAGGCGTGAGCCAGGGAACTCGGCGTAGGTCCTTTTTTCTATGTACTTCTCTGTAACAGCACTCACCACTGGAGATCTGAACCATCTGTCCATTTGTCTCAGCTGAGGGGCTGGCTCTGTTGCCCAGGCTGGAGTGCAGTGGCACTGTCCTGGCTCACTACTGCCTCTGCCTCCCCAGTTCAAGTGATTCTCATGCCTCAGTTTCCCAAGTAGCTGGGATTATAGACATGCACCACCATGCCCAGCTAATTTTTTTATTTTTAGTAGGGACAGCGTTTCACTGTGTTGGCCAGGCTGGTCTTGAACTCCTGGCCTCAAGTGATCCACCCGCCTCAGCCTCCCAAAGTGCTGGGATTATAGGCGTGAGCCACCGTCTCCAGCTGGGCTGGCTTTAACTTGGTGTTTCCAGTACAGTGAGAGTTCAGTCAGTGAATGAGTGAGAAAATCTGCTGGAGCAAACCTGCCCACACACAGCAATAGCATTTGATTTAGACCCATATGCAGATATTTAAGATCCTTGCAAACAGCCGACACCACATCAGAAGAGAGATTTAGGCCAGATGTGGTGGTTCATGTTTATAATCCCAACACTTTGGGAGGCCAAGGTGGGAAGATCTCCTGAGCTCGGAGTTCGAGACCAGCCTTGGCAACATAGGGAGACCGCCCCCATCCCACCACCCCGCTGTCTCTAAGAATAAATAAATTAATTAAACATTGGCCAGGCACGATAGTGCAAACCTGTAGTCCCAGCTACTCAGGAGGCTTAGGTGGGAGGATCACTTAAACTCAGGAGGTTAAGGCCGCAAGTGAGCTATGATTGTATCATCGCACTCCAGCCTGGGCAACAGAGTGAGACCATGTCAAAAAAAAGGACGGAAGTACAGCCTCAACTTCACTTCAGCCCAGGAAACTGAGGTTTAGTGTGCGCCTGCAATCTGCCGGAAGCCACATTAGGTGCTGAGTCTGCATTGTCACGGTTCATCTTCACTAGAATCTCTTGTTTACCTGTGAGGTCCTAAGGCTCAGGATGTTGAGGAACTGCTGTTCGTGGTCAAACCACGCACACTGAGGGTTACCAACAACCTACCTGGGCTCAGGCTTTTGTGAGCTCATTGAAATCTTCATTGACTTGCCTGAAGTGAGCCCTCCAAAGTAGCAATGATATTTTCTTTTTTCCTTTTCTTTTTTTGTTTGAGACAGAGTCTCACTCTGTCACCCAGGCTGGAGTGTGATGATGAGATCTCGGCTCACTGCAACCTCCGCCTCCCAGGTTCAAGTGATTCTCCTGTTTTAGCCTCCTGAGTAGCTGGGATTACAGGCATGTGCCATTGTGCCCAACTAATTTTCATATTTTTAGTAGAGACAGGGTTTTTCCATGTTGGCCAGGCTGGTCTCGAACTCCTGACCTCAGGTGATCTGCCCACTTTCGCCTCCCAAAGTGCTAGGATTACAGGGGTCAAACACCACTCCTGCCTGATATTTTCAATCAGAGATATATGACATTCTCCACCTCCTCAGAAACCCACCTGCAGTTGGCAGCCACTGGTTTTGATGAGCCCTGACCATTTTCTAAAGCCCATGGGCCCCCTAGAGCCCTAGGGCAACCTGGGCAAAGTTCCCACCTCCTCATGGGAACTTCTGGGTACGGCTTCTCACAGGCTTGGCTCCCGGAGCTATGACACGGGAGGTGAAATGGAAGAGACTTACTGAGGAAACAAAGCATGGATTGAGGACTTTTCTCTCAAGCCCCAGCATCCTCTTCCAAATTTGGGGTGTAGATGCTGAATTGACCCCAAGAAACAAATTCACAAATCATTCTAGTAGCTCCTTGTACTAACCTAGAATTTGCCACCAGCCATGAAGGCTGTCCCAGGCGGCCCCATCAGATGCTTCTAAGTGAGGGAGGTGATAGACGTTTATTGAGCATTTATTCTGAACTCAGTGGCTCATGTGTTATTTCATTTACTTGCCCAAACAATCCTTGAAGGTAGATAGCAGAGGTGCAGAGGTAAGTAATTCCATGGCCATTGCCTCACTCCAAGCTGATGTCTCTTTTGCCTGACACCATAACACGCTCCCACCTGGCCCCCAGGTGCCTCCCTCCAGACCTCCCTCCACCAGCAAAGGCTTCATCAACCTATGCCCCTGCCTCTCAGTGATCTTTGCAAAGAGCAAGGTCAAAACCCTTGACCTCAAGGCCTGCCCCAGCTGACTCTTGCTGTCCCTGGCTTGCTCCAGGCTCCAGCACTTACTAGCTCACTCCAGCCACACTGATGATTCCCTGTTGGTCAAACAGAGCAGCACTGCCTCCTTCCCTCCTCCAGGCACTGTGTGCAGCTGCCCTGCCTGGGGTGCCCTTCCACACAGATGTGCCTATCACCCGTGCACACAGATGTGCTCGCACGTGTACACACGTCTCTGCCTCATGCTCATTCTTAGGGTCTCAGTAGCATTTTCCCTTTCTCACAGAGGGCTCCGGGCCAGTGCTTCCTCCTCTAGAGTCTAGGTTAGTTCCTCCTGTTATCCCTCTCACAGCACCCTGTACTCTTCCTTAACATGCACTTTGCACAACTGTCGTTCTGTAGGCACCTGCCCGTGTATCGGCTTTCCCTGTCTCCCACTGGTGTGCAAGCGCTGGGAGGCAGGGCCTGAGTCTGGTTTATTTTCCACCTGTGGCCAGTGCCTGGCACAGGGCTGAGTGTAGGCCACGTTTCCCGACGGCAAGTGCCCGAGCTGGGTTCAGATTTCTCTGCCTGGAAATGCCCCGAAAATGCTGCCTTTATCTACAGCATACTGCAGGCGCCCCCCAGGACCTCAGCACACAGAGCTGCAGGTGCCCCCAGGATGTTAGCACACAGGGGGGCTGGCCTGGGGTGTCTGGATACTGACCCTGGTAGGCCATCAGTAGTCACTTAAAAAAAATTTTTTTTTTAAATAGGCTAACATCATGAAACTCTCTCTTTACGAATGATACAAAATTAGCCGGGTATGGTGAAAGGCACCTGTAATCCCAGCTACTTGGGAGGCTGAGGCAGGAGAATCACTTGAACCCGGGAGGTGGAGATTACAGTGAGCTGAGATCATGTCATTCATTGCACTGTGGCCTGGGCAACAAGAGGGAAACTCTGTAGGAAAATTAATTTATATATATTTATCGTGTGTGTGTGTGTGTGTGTGTGTGTGTGTGTGTGTGTGATAAAGACAGGGTCTCCTTAGTTTACCCAGGCTGGTCTCGAACTCCTGGGCTCAAGTGATCCTCCTGCCTTGGCCTCCCAAATTGCTGAGGTTACATGTGTGAGCCACTATGTCAGGCCAGTAGCCACCTTTGCCTCCCATTTGGGCATCAGTAACAGCTCAGGGACCTCTGGGACCCAGGGAACACTTAGTTTTGTTACTGATGAAGGGCAAGGGGTGCCTCCTCAGAGTCCTGCCCTGGGTCCTACAGTCCCCAGTGGCCACATGGTGGGGAACAGGGACAGGGATTCTCCCAAGAGCCCACTGCTCTG